GCCTTCCAGCTTCAAGTCTTCGTAATTCGCTCATTTCGAACTTCTGATACAAGATAATTGCATTTCTGTTTTATATCGTTCATTTAGTTAACCTTCTTAACCTTATAAAATATTCAATTTATAATTATTGAATGTCTATCGTTTAAAAAAATAAATTGCAACTCATCTAAAATATTCATTTTTATTGTTCAATATGTTTAAATTGTGAACACTTTGTAATAAAATTGAATAAACATGAAGGTATGTTCTTTAGTAGCGAAAGTAATTTTTTCGTCATAAAAAAATCCATATTTTTAAGTCCATATAACGACCAACGTCATTTGTATCAATTACAATATAATTTTATAAATATTAATGAAAATAATAATTTCCCAACACTCTTACCCATATGAGCAACTTAGTAAATCATGTTCATTTTTGTATGGAAGCACGCGCATCCCAGTATGGCTATCAAAGGTAATTTTTGCACAGATGTTCTATTTATTAATTTCGGCAATGTTCTTGATGATTGCCACTGTTTGTTTGAATAACACCACTTCAGATTGTTCAATTTTGATAACTATCAATTTGTAATTATGTAATTACTTGGTATTGTGTTCAGAGTCAAGTTCTTGCGCGCTCGGTAATCTTTCAATTGATATTTCTTAAAGTTCATTAATAATAAGATAATGGTTTATAAAATGTTTAAACTTAAATTTAAATTAATGTAACTTTATTTTTAACAATATCGTTGACCTAGTTTCTTGCTGATTTCCAACAATCTGCAAGAAATAAATTACATGATATTGAACATTTTTATATTTAATAGTTTACTTTCTTTACTTTCATAAAGATATTATAGTTCTTTTCCAACACGAGTACAATTAGGACTGATTGTCTTTAGATCTTTAAGATTAAAAAATTGAAAACATCGACGACAAGACTTTGGGTCTTTCGAATATTGTTGCAAAATGGTAATAATTTGCATACGTATTGTGTTTTCTATAATCTGAAGGATTTTAATAATTTATTTATTATAATTTTGAAAATTCAATGTTCAAAATTATTACGACGTATAATGTCTATAAATATCTTATTTTTTCTTTATTCTGCATATAAAGATTATTTAAAATGCAAATTTAAATTATTAATCTGCTTCTACTTGTTTCAAATCTTTGCTTATTTCAAAAGAAAGAAAAACTTTTGCGGTTTTTGAGTTGATTTATATTTGAGTTTCTATATTGTTTGATTCTGAGTTATTTTATTATTTCTTATATTTTATTATAATTTTGATTATGTATCCGAAATCATAAGAAATTTGATTGCATTATTTGGGTCTAATTCTGATTTGTTTATTGTTCCGAGTAGGGTCCCTCCTCTCACCCCAGCATGGGAAGATCCGCAATCGTGGTTGGCAGTGGTAGGCCCAATATCGCGGACAAGTGGGGTCATTTGCGACCCTGCGGCGTGGTGTTACAAGAGCAAGTACCTCCTTCTGGGGTCTCTTCCTGCGACGACACAGGAACTCAAGATCCTTACTTGAGGAGGCGAATAGATAGCGACAGAAGCCGTTTTTCAGGGCTGCGATGGGGGTTAGTTACCTTGCGGCGGGGTTTGTCCACATGTTTGCATGAGGAGCTCCGGTCCTCATGCTCTTCTCCCTTCAGGAGATTAGCGATCAAAGTCTGTAGCAAGTAATATTGAGATTGAGCACAAAGCTGTTGCATTAAAGCCATTGCATCAATTTATCGAGGTATAGATTTTGTGCAGCTGAAGAATGTTTAATTATAAAACATTATATACGGACAATAGAAATAATTTAAATATAGAATAAATAATTCCCAAGTGCAATCAAGACATCTAATGCAATCATTTAGTAAACTTCGTCAGAAAATTTAAATAAATGCAACTTTAATTTAAAGAACACACTTTATTAAAAAAAGATTATTACATTTATTAATATAAAATGTATTTTATGAAGTAAAAACATGTAAATATGAAAATCAACTTAATTAGAAATAACTGAAGAAGAAATGCTTTACTTCGCGCTAAGTTCCATCAATCTACAAGAAAGAATAAATATTAGATCATATATATGTTTAAATATATTTATAACTATTACTTTGCGTATGTTAGGTTTCGTATGTCGTTTGATTTCATAAAGATATCATAATTCTGTTCCATCAACTGCTGTATCTCGACGACCATCAACGAATCCATACCAAGTTCTGCGAAAGTGCTATTAGGACTAATCGTTTTCATATCCGTCACACCAATAATTTTGAGGACATCAACGACAAGATTTTGGACGCTCTCCTCTTCTATGTTTTCAGGCAGGACAAAACTTGAAACAACAGTTTCGTTTTGCATCAACAAGTGATTAAAAACTTCCAAGCAACTAGAAATTCTCTGCTGGATAGTACCACATACAGGAACATCTACGTGCAACTTCTGCATACGTGTTAAAAGTCCGACATCTCCAATTGCACCCCATTGGATAGCTAAACCAGAGAATCCATCTTTGCGTCTCAGCTCGCATATCCTTTCTATCGCTGAATTCGCCATACCATAATTTGTTTGACCTATATTACCTTTTCGGCAGACAATTGTGGAAAACACCACGAAATGTTTCAACGTCTTCGAGGTACGTGTGATCTTGTCGAAATGTTTTGTAGCCACAGCTTTCGCTAACATTGAGGACTTGAAGCTTTCTGCAGTTTGGTTTTCCAATATAGCATCTTTTAATACAACTGCCAAATTAAAAAATCCATACACCGGAGCAACATTTTCTGCTTTAATCATCAGGTTTTTACAATCATCATAAATAGAGATGTCTTCGAGTGCAATGATAACATTGACTCCGTACGATTTCCAAATACTAAAATCAAATGTAAATTATGTATAATAAAGTTTCTGATAACTTACTTAATTCTATATTGCTGATAACCAGTTGTAACTCCAGATCTTGAAGATATTATCAAAGTTTTTGCACCGCGCAACACCAGCCAATCCGCCAATTCTAAACCAAAACCTCCTAAACCTCCTAATATTATATAAGAACCAGTCGGCTCACAATGGAATCTAAAGAAATAATAGTATTTGGAACAATTTTTTGCTTATTTATTACACTATTACCTTGGTAAAACTATCTTAGTTTCTTCTATTTTGCTAGGAGAACTAATCTCTTCTCTAATTTTTATAAGTACTTTGCCAATGTGTTTACCAGTTGTCATGTACTTGAACGATTCCTCCAATCTTGATTTCTCAAATACCGTTCTTACCAGAGGTTTAACAGATCCATCGTCAATTGCTTCCTGCATTAAACCATACACATATCTTTTAATATTATCTGCAGCGACAATAACAGCATCTAACATGATTCCATGGAATGTGCAACCTTTCGACACTAGATCCAAAGCCAAGTTGCTGTTGCGTGATAAATCAAACTTGCCAATCTCTAAGAAACAACCACCTGCAGATAAGCAACGAACGGAAGCTTGAAGTTTCTCGTCGGCCAACGAATTCAGCACTAGATCAACACCTCGTCCACCCGTTTTTACCATCACCATCTGCTCGAAAAACGTATTTCGTGAATTGCCGATGTTCGATTCTTTCAAGAACGGGTATTGTCGAAGGAGGAATTGTTTCTTTTCTTCTGTACCGACAGTTACGAAAATTTCGCAACCCCAATGATGGGCACAGTTGATGGCCGCTTGACCAACACCGCCGGTTCCTGAATGTATCAGCATGGTTTGACCCCTCTTCACGTTTCCTCTCTAACATAATAAAAATCAAAGTATGTTCATTATTGTATCAAATTTCTTACAGATTTCATGGCCAGGATGACAGTTGCGTATACAATAGGAACAGTGGCCGCATCTTCCAAACTCCATCCATTTGGTACGTTCCACGTCAATAGTGGATCACTTTCTATTATATTCGAAATAGCACCACCAACTAGAAAACCCATTACTCTTTTCCCACTGAAATTCAATCAATTTAATGGTAATAATCACAATATTTAACATTCTTGAAGTACTCAAGCTTCTTTCCTGAATATTCAAAACCATTGATGTTGTTTTGATCATTTCTCTTCATTGATACTGCATCAACTGGTATTTTACCTGAAGCCGTCATCACATCTTTAAAGTTAATAGCTGAATAATAAATCTGTAAATAAAATAATTACAAGAAGTTTTAACTTAGTTCGTTTTGCATACCTCAACGAAATTATTATTGTATAATGTTTGTTGACCCTTAATTGATCCTTCTAACCAAGACAAAGTCGAAAGATCTCCAATGTTTAGCACGTTTGCGTAGTAATGATCGCACTTTTGGAATTCTAGTTTTTCTGTATGGTTCAACAACATATGTCGGTAAGTACCCCAGGCTTTTCCTCTTAATACGTTAAATGCTAAGCCCTTCTGCAGTTGCTGTTTGAAAAACTCACTTTTCTCTTGAAATTTCCTTCCTTCCTGGATGAACACGCAGTATACATTTTTTGTACCATCTTCGCACCTCAGGCAGTTCACCAAACCTAGTATACCATTGGTCGGATCTTTATCGGAATAAAGCATGATCTTTTTCGAAGACTTCAAACTGTTTTGCACTCGTGGAAGCCAACTCTCGTAATCATCGTTTACTTCAATGTAAATAGGTTCTTGATATTCTTCAGATCTTCTTAATAGATGAATAAATATGCCTGAGGGTAATTTGTATTTAGTCAATGTAGTTAAGTTTTTGTTAACAGGAATTTTCGTTTTATCGAAAGACATTATATAACCATCATCAATTATATAAGCTAAAGCTCTTTGCATGCTTTCATGGTTACTTAGCAAATTGTATCCTATACAAATTAACGCGCTTTTTTCTTTAGGAATTACATCCGTTATTTTAATACCGTTGATGTTCATGATCATCTTTGAGGTATATATCGTTAAATTTGAATGAAGTGTAGTTATATTATTCAGGATTTGATGAATATATTTTGAAACTGGCTGTAGATGTGAAGATTTTGCATCAAAAATTTCTAAAACATTTAAATTTATCAATGAATTATTTTCTAATACAATTTGCAAGTTGACTGTCAATGAATCTTCAAGTCTCAGACTTGACTCATTCGGCACAAACTTGTACGTTTCCAATATGGGATCATTTTGTGATTTCTTCTTTAGTGTGATCTTATCATACAAAGATGTTATTTCTACATTTTTTGACCTGGCAATATTGTAATTAATTTCCACAGGTATAGCATTTTCTTTGCCCAAATCTTTGATTTGATCCATATGACCTTTGGCATCGATGACAAGTTTACCCAATCCTATAGGTATATATATGTTTCTAGAATCCTGTTGTAGTGCCATGAACTGCAATATGTTGTCCAAAAAAGTAACCCAATTTCCAGTCCATTCAATAAAAGCCTTATTTCCAATCATCTTTTGCAATCCTCTGAATTGGTCTCTGGATTAAATGTATTGTTTATAGATGTTTAAAACTTTGAACACTATTAAAATTAATACTTACTTGTGGTCGTAACCTCTCAGAGTCATTTCGGTATATATATCATTCTTTGTAAGCACTGGTAAATTGGGATCAATCACTCTATCTTCGTATGCTATATCGCAAGTTTCGACTTCAAAGATTCTACCTGTAACCAAAGTTGTGTTTCTTTGGGATACTTCAAAATACCCGGTCTTTTGAATAGGTTAAGTAAAAGCTAAAAGTTCCATCTTTAGCTAGTGTCGAGGCATATATGAAATCTAACGTCTTCAAAGCAAATCTTCATATTTTTCATCGATATATCTTTAATTAAAGCGTAGAACTCCCATATTAGGAATAAATATCCAGTAGCAGGAAAAATAGTTCTTCCTAAAAATGAATTATTTATTATAATTGTTACAAAACTCGTACTAAATCATACCATTAAAAACGTGTCCTTTATAAGAAGCTAAAATTGATTATTAGATGTGTTTATATGTTTCTCGAGTCTCGTTACTTTCAACAACTTGATATTTTGGTGTCCGAAAGTCATGATCATGTTTCCATTTGATCAATGGAGAAATCATCGCCGTTCCTCTCTTAACTGGCCATTGAATTGGATACAACTTTCCCAAATCGAAATCCATTCCTAATTCATACAACTCCCCAAATTTAGTTAACATGTCGTTCACAGTTGTATCTCTTCGAATCATATGAACTATTTGAAGAACATCGTCCGCACATTCAAAATCTACACCAATAATAACATCTTTCTTACTCCATTCATTTGCAGAAGAATTGAGTAAGTTGTTCACAATATATTTATCAGAAACATATTGAAAATCATCAATGTTTGTTTTTGATAAACTACGTTTAGTTAATTTCTTCTGCAGCATGACTTGTCTAAGTTCTTCAGTCAAA